AGGATGTAAAACTTATATAATTAAGGATTTAAAATTTTGTACAAGTAATTTTATAGTCTTAATAAGAATATTATATATAAATAAACAGAACGTAATTCATAATCAATGCGTAAAAAATGAAAAATTTGAATATTTCCTAAGCCATATGTAAATTTAGTTTAAGTTTGTAAATTTAACCTGCTAATTAACTATTTAATATATAAGCATTATTAGGAGTCTTATTATGAATACAAAATAAATTTCGTGTATACAAAATTTAACTAATCGCATATTGTTTAGGATTACATTACTTAAAATAGTTAATTCTTTATTTATGGTAATCTTTTATTGTCGAGAAGTAAATCTCCAATTTACGTACAATTCTCAAAAATTAACTATGATGATCATAAAATGCAATGCGATAAACAAAATCAATTCTTTCTACAATCACATTCAATTATGTCAAACAACTAAATGTATATAAATTATAAATCAATAGAATACGCATATTTGTGTCTTGTGTACAAAAATCATAGCCTTATTGTTGTAAGTGCAAATTCAATATATTACATTAACAATAAAATTATACTTTTAATAATAGACGTTAATATACTTATGTAAAAAAAACACATCATTTTCAATCTTTTTTTATTTACTTTGTTTTTATTATACAATATGAAATACATATATAAATACATATATATGAAAAAATGTGTATTAAAATTATTTTAAAAGCAAATTACATAATAAAAAATGTCTTCTATCGTTGTATCGTTTTAAAATATTTCAATTTTATTTATGATAATATAGACTAATATTAATTAAACAAGGATAAATCGTAAATAAGAAATGAACAATCGCGGTTGACGATGAATGATGTTCGAATAAATAATAATAATGACGCTACGATTATTCATTGAAGATTGAAAGGCTACTGCCTATGTCTATTAACAAAATTTTTTTTAGCTCAAAATGTTTCTGGAGATGGAAGAAGACATACGTTGAAGATATGTTACACAAAGCCGATGCATTATGGTACTTCGATTGCATTACTTATTTGTCAGATTTTACGCATCGCTGCGTGTTTAATGAAACTGATACATATTGTAATTAATTAGATGGGAATTGAAATAAAGCTATGAAATATCGTTAAATCGATCATAATTAATGGAGATTTTATCATTCTCGCATTACATTGTATATTATTTTGGATAAAAGAATAGAAATAAATCAAAAGAAATTTTATTAATGTGTAAAAAACTGAACGGGCCTGTCTAATTAGCTCGATGGATTATTCCCAGTCGCCTTTCCTCTCTCGTTGGAAAAAAGTTGGGAAAGGCGGGAAAGGTGAGGAAAGAGAGGAAAGACGCTCGCGGCATCAAAGGCTTATTAAGGAGGATCCGTTGATGAAGCAAGCGGTCGATCTCCGTCTAATTGTCTACGCTGGTGAAACACGTTTGCTCGCGTGCATTCTGCATCGGAATTGCAGATCTCGCGCGGCTTTTTCGTGCCGCCACCACCGCCATCGCCGCTGCCGACGAGAAGACGAGACTCGCGCCTCAACAAGCAAATGAGTCCGAATTACGGGAGTGGGCGTGTCAATGCCACGTCGTCACCGAGACGGACAACACTGCCTTCTCAGCGTCTTTAACACTCTCATTATCATATACCCGTTTGCATGTGTCGCAAGAAGAAACAGTGATGTTCGAAAAGCTATTTTCATGCGCTACTTTTCTTATTTTCCAAAACTGACAATTAACAACCTTGAGTCGACGCACTTGGCCAGAGGTCAATATTTTTCAAGATGGCCGAACACCGACGATTTTAATTTCCGGTAATGACGTTTTTATTGATTTTTTATTGAATTGTATTAGCGATTCTAATTTAGGAACTTTCATCGATCTGGTCGAATTATTTTAGTTAGTCTCTATACTATTTAAAAATCTTGACTAACTTACAATAGATTCTAATGAACTTCGTTAAAAATATTTGCTTTGCGGTACACAGAATATGTAATGAATATAATAAAACGAACAATAATTTTTTATTTGACCCGAAATCTTATTAAATAAAAAAAACTTGATGTTTATTATAAAGCTGTAATTATAAAATGTAATAATATTTTATAAAAACTGTAAATATGTAAAATTTAAATACTACTAAATAAAAAATTCTGTACATTTTGCAGTATAACGTAAAAAGTGTATCGCAATGACGATGAACGAATGATATTCAATATGTAAAAGATTTATAAATATAATAACACTTTTTCTTATTATATTTTAATTTATCCCATTTAATTCGGAATTTTCTTGACTTCGAAACTACTCGTATTTACAAAGAAGAAAAAAAATTAATTAATTAATTATATACGAAGTTTTTGAGAACAAAAGTCTTATATGCCTTGAGATAACTTATATGGTATTTTACTCCAGTAACATAAACAAATTCAAAGATGGATACAAGTTTCAATACGTAAAATACCGTAGCCAATATATCCTTGGTGAAAGGTCTCAATTTTCTGAACTATTTAAAATTTTATTCTTGTGAATATTCAACGGCATCGTCTTCGACAAATCGACATCGTTGGTCACGGTCACGATGATAGTATTGGTGATTCCGATGGTGACAGTTGTTCTACAATCCGAAAATTGATATAACACGAATTAGTGTATTATAAATGATCCCGCTCGACAAGATAAAATTTACTTGATGTATCGGACTTAAATGCACTTGCGGCCTCTCATCATCGCTATTACAAATTCTTTATTTGAATGTGGCGGTATCTGAATTACAGACCAGCCTCCGCTACTACATGCCGTACAACGTTGCTAATAACAACGCCTACGAGCCGGCATTGAAATTTGTAAAAATTATAAAAAAAAAAAAAAAAAAAAAAAAAAAAAAAAAAAAAGTATGACTCGCCCACACGAAGTATTCAGCGAGTTCTGTAAAATATTGGATTAAACGCCTATAGGAGGGAGGCCAATAGCATGATTAGAAATATTCTAAGGAGTCGAATATTTTAATAAAATTATAGCTCTACTACACTTATTCTTGCTCAATTTCACTTTAATTCACCCCGCACGCAGAGCACTCGCATTTTCATACTTACAATTGCTTCGTATTTAATTTAGTACAGACATCTTACGTTCTGAAGCTGATGGGACTGTTTTGTTTCCTGAATTATTCAGAGTCTTGCGAATTTATTTACCCAGGCGTACACATCATTTTTACAACGACTAATGCGTCAAATGCGCTTGCACCGCACGACTGATTTTGCTTGATAACGCACACCGGTATATGACTAGAATAAACGAACAATTATAAGATGAATATAGAGCACGAGACGTTTCAGTGGAGAAAACATATGACAAACATGCCACAAAGGAAATAGCTCCTGCTCATATTTCCTTTCGCTAATTGCATTTGCGAGCTCAATTGTGGCAATTTCAATGTTCGACTCTAGAAAGCTAAGTTGTCCATCGATGCCAGTGCATAGTATAGAAAGTTACGATTTATAGGAAAGGTGCTAGTGTTATTGTCAATGCAGACTAGCATCATGAACTCATCAGTGAGGGCAACTTAATAGCCGCAACTTAATAAATTATATCTTAGAGTAAAGGAGGCCGAGCCACTTCAAAAAGCTTCTTGGAAGGGCCCGCACTATTTCGGCGAATAATTTCTTTTCATCTCGCGCCTTTCATCGTTGCCACGGCCGAGAGCCGCGAGACCCTTTCCCCCGATCTTTGTCACCAGGCGCGCGACCGCAAATGTAGGACGGAGGCTCCTGCGTTACGGTGGTAGGATGAAAAATCACGGGTCGTCCCACCTTCAGGTTCCACAGAATCCCTGAGGATTTCGCGTGATATCACTTTTCTGTTGCTCGTAAATTCTATTCCTCCCGCCTGCGTTTATTGGGCGTGTTGGTGGTTGTGGTGATGATGATGATGGTAGTGGTGGTAGTTATGGTGATGGTGGTGGTGGTGGTAGTAGTAGTTGTCCCGATGGTGGTAGTAGTGGTGGTGGTGGTGGTAATGGTAATAGGTGGTAAAAGGAACGGTGGTGGAGCAAGAAGGGAGAAGAAAAATGCGGCAACTCGGATCTTTCCAGATTTTCCAAATTTTCTTACTTCGCCAACCACAACGGGTTAATTTCTTCTATTCTCGGAATGGTTTTGAATTAAAGTTTTCAAGAAATGTCTCTAATCCACCTCGATAGTATGAAAAAATTATACATGAATAAAATAGATCAAAGTTAGTTCTGAAATTCTCGAGACAAATGTCGTTTACGTCTCAGAGCATTTAATATACCACTTCAACATTTTTCTTATCTATTAAACGAACTCTATATGTATATATCGCTGAATCGAACTCTTTTTTTTATTATCTATTAGGAATTCATCAGAAATGCGGGAATGCATCAGAGCGGTAAAACATAATGTCAATAGTTTAAATAAATGTAGAAAAATGGTTTAACTAAAAAAAGAAGGGGAAAAAATTGATAAATGATACATTTTCTATAATTTTTTTTAATAGACGGTTGGAAAAAAAATATCGAGTAAAAAAAATAACCAAAATATCATAAATTGAAAGAAGTAAATTGAATATTATAAGTAAAGCATTGTTTTAGATGGAAATTTTAGATAAAAATTAATTTTTACTCATGCGAAATAACCTGGAATATGTGGGTAGCGTTATTTTGTGCATCACACGTGTTTTATTTAAATGGGAGGAGGAAGAGGATAAAGAAAATAAAATAAAAATATTACGTTTAAGATTATGTTCCCATTTATTTAGGATCACTATACACAATCTACTTTTCCGCATATATCCTCTGGCGTACATCTGATCCACACGAAGTCACGTGCAGCGATCCGACTAAAATTTACATATCTTAGAAAATCATAAAGCTCCCTGTTTAAACTCAAAATCGGGTATATTGCAGTGCCCGCATAATATCGTGTATCGTGTACATGCGTTATCATTTTTATTTCATTCAAGATATATATATATATATATATATATATATATATAAAGTTTAATTTTTCTAGTTTAATTTGCCTAGATGCAAAAAGGAGATTTTTTCGAGCACTTGAACATTTAAAGATGTATACTTCGTACTTGTATTTACAATCTATTTACAAACGAGCCGAACCAAGCAGCCTCTATTTCAACTTACGAGCTAAATTCGTTAATAATTTATTATCCTCGACGTAATGGATAGCGACTGTAATTACACTATAATACACAAATATTCGTTTGAGTAACCGGCAAAGATGAAAAGACATGACAGAAAGAAAATGAAATAGTTCTCTGACAGATCGGTACATAAAACATCAAACACTAATTAAACGGTATTTACAAGGATACATGGAGAAAAACTGTAATAATTATTTCTAGAAATGTATACAAATGCTTCTATAAAGTATAATAAGTTAGTGTTATACCGTGCTATTTTAAATCCCCCTTCCCCATCCCAATATTGTATGGCAAATCATTATGTTACAGATAAAAAGAAATTTACTTTTATGATTATCGTATCAATTCCAAAAGAGTGAAAAATATACAATGAAGAAAATCTCAATACGGAACATTGATAGTCGTCGATAATGAAAGATTTTATATTTTTGTGAACAATGAACATTTGAAAAGTCCATTAGCTTAATGTATAAAGTTGCCATTCAATATTTTGAACAATGTCATTATAGTAAATTTGGTCTGTAACGCTAGGGAACATTTGTTAATGTTATGATGTTATAGAGGAGCACTCGAGTATCTCGAAGACTTAAGAATCGTATTACCAACTTAATACAGTATATAGTAGCGCTTTTCTAGAATTTTCTCTGGTCGTCAGTTCGACTTTTAAGACGGAATTATGATTTATCGTCGATGGAAGTAGGCAGCGGTCTCTTTTTGAGAATTCCCAGATCCTGAACGTTCTCGAGGAAGGTCTTATGATGCTGGGCAACCAGGAGGGGATTAACTGTCTGCACATCCTTCTTCAATTCTTCCATATCGCGCTTAAGCTTGGCCCGGCGATTCTGGAACCAGGTGATGACCTGAGCGTTGCTCAGACCGAGCTGAGCAGCAATCTCATCACGATCCGCGGGTGACAGATATTTCTGATACAGAAATCGCTTCTCCAGTTCAAAGATCTGCTGGTTCGTGAAGGCTGTCCTGCTTTTTCGCTTCTTCTTCGGTTGCTGTCGGTTGTTGAACAGGTTCAGGTGATTGGCTTGTTCTGAAAGTAAAACATTTATTAATTTCATCCTCTATATAATCGAGATCTAGAGAGCCGTTGCTTATCTCATATTTCTCCTCTAACCATCCGTCACGACAAAAACTTTCTACCTTTTTTCCAATCAAAATTACCTTTTATCTACTCTGACGAGCTAATATCTCACACTTTTATCGTCTTTACTTGTCTATCCGAGCCAGTCATACACAATCATATGTTCTCTTTTCAAATCATCGGCGCTCATTTAAGGCGATATTGGAATTATTTGGAATCGTGAAAGTATTTTTTTTATGTAATAAATTATTGTTTTATGTAATAACAAAGAAAGTTCAAGTAAATTGTGATATTACGTTAAGTATAATGAACAATATTAATCAACTGATGATAGATAGTTGAGCAATTTTTAAATTATAATATTCCTTCTTTATGATTTAGGTCGTACGGCGAATAAATGCCGCTTTTATACAAGCTGCCAGGCGGCATAATTTGGATTTTTTAAAAAGGAACTTTATTTACAAGTCTTGTAAAATGTGGCATTGGCGTTTATTATCGAGTTTATTTGAAGAAAAAAGCCCGTCGAGAAACATAAGTTTGAGAAATTTTTATATACGCGCAAAGTGGGAGAGCAAGCGAGAGGGAACGAGGGAGAACGAACGACAGGACGGGATGGTAGAGAGGGAATCGTGCGTGCGTGCGCGTGCATGTGTGTGTGTGTGTCTCTCTCTCTCTCTCTCTCTCTCTTTCTATAGCCTGCGATCGTATGGATGCGCGTGTAAATGGGCGAATGAGTGAGTGAGTGAGTGAGTGCGCGCGCGTGTGTGTGTATGAGAGAGAGAGAGGGAGATATTGAACATGCCGGTACCTTTTGTATATGCAAAGGCGCGCGCCACAAATCAGGCGCATCTCAAAATGTCGAGAGGATACCCCATAAAAGTCGTATTACACATTCGTTCCGGACCCATCACAAAATTCCACGCGGCCGAGCTGTTATGAGAAGCACCAGTGGATACCTCGCGTCGTATCTACGAAAGAAAAATCCCGAAAACTCTTGGATAGAGTAGGCACCAATTATTATTGGCGCTATTCGCTCGAAGATCATAGTGCAGCGTGGTTTGTTTGCAAAAACAGCGCGGTAATTGGCTCGAAATTGGAGAAGACGCAAGCGACGAGCCTCGCGCACAAAGTAGCCACTCGTTGATGTGGATCAAAGAGAACCGCCATCGGTCACACCTGCGCAACTTACGGTACAGTCACAAGCAAGAGTCCGAAGCAAAGATCGATCGAATAAGCCCAAGTTACTCCACTTAACTCATTCGTGCCGTCAACGCTCTCAAATCACATGTAGATTTATAAAATACCAGGGCAACTATTAATCAAACGTATTAAGCCAGAATTTTTAATTATTTTTCTTATTTTCCTTGGAATATTTTTTCTCAATAATTTACCATTATCATTAAATTATTAATTGCATTATTGATTCTTTTTTTCTTTCTTTACTGTTAAATAATAATTCCGGCTCCTCTAATTCTACACGTACGGTATAATGATTGAGTATGAAGAATTAATGTAAATGCTGTAAAAATACTTTGTAAATATCACTCATTATTGAGTAACTCTTATGGTGTCAGAGATAATTACAGGGTTTGAAATACAATTATTTATAGTCTTTATAGTGTCTTTTAAATCAAATTCTATTAATACGTCAAAGCTGTACTTGAGGCTTTGTTGCTTATAAAATTATTATAAGCAATTATTATAAAATTATTATTAATTTCGATAAATCTTTGGTTTATTTCATGCTATTGCTTGAAAATAGCAAATCTATTTTACATCTTAATCTCGTGCAACTTATGAAAAAAATTTCAAGTTTAATTAAGCGCAAACGTATGTAGCATCGGTAAAGTATCCGCGGTGGGATAAATATAAGCTGAATTATTCGAAAAACATTTTCATCTTATATCCATGATAGAAATTAGAAAGTAAAGTTGAAATGTTTAAAACTTCAGAAGCATTATTCAATTAGCTTATTTTGTTTATTTTTTTTTTATTTTTACTTCATTTAAATAATTAAATTGAAAAACTGATATCCTTTGTATTATTTGAATTACGAATGCTAATTCTCGTTGATAGAGTGTACAGTGAATATGGCAAACTATTCGAATGAATGAATTAGCCTCGAAGGAATAACTTTTAAACGAATTGTAAAATAATTATTTTGTCACGTTCAACTATATTATTGCATATTGCATAGATGGCGTGTGCACTATGTCTCTACTATATTTACACAGTAGAGAATATCCTTAATCTGTTAAACTAATAAAAGCATTATCAAGAAGCGTTAGTCTTTCCTAGTAGTTAGTTGAATAAATTATTTCAAGCAAGCTACGGTCGATTAAAAATATAACGTACTTTTTCGTAATCTGTGAGAAATAAAGAGACAGGATAATGCATATAAGACATAAGACTGAAATTTAAAGAAATTGGGCAATTTGAAGTATTGGCTAAAATGAAGAATCGTAGTGTATTAATGGGGGAAAGAAAAAGCCGTTATTTTCGTTAAATATGCAGATGGCTGAAAGTGCGCTACCGAAAATTGAATAAATGCAGGTTAACGTCGCGAACGATCACGCAAAGCCATATAATATTTTGGCGAAGCTTCGCAGGTACTGATGAGTTCTTTTATTAAAGAGTGGCAAGGTAAGCGAGAGAAAAAGGGTGTCGGAAAGAACATAAGTGGCTGCGTCCATTTTGCTGGTGGTGACTACTGCATTGGCCAGAGGTGAGCAAGAAGAGTCAAAGAAGCATAGAGCTTATATTACCACGAGCGGGCGAAGAAACGAGCGGACGAACGATTGAGCGAGTGAGAGAAGGAGCGAAAAGAGGCGCTGAGATATTAGTTTCTGCGGTCGACTCTTCGCGGAGATTTAATTCGTTTGATGTTCACGAATTCGCCGCTGCACGGTCTTTTCACAACCAAGCATTCAAAAGCTAGCCTTCTTCTTCTCCCCCTCCCCCCACCCCGCATTTCTTACCTCCTCCCGCGTCAAAACTCCCATCTATTCGTCATAAAACACGGCTAAAAGTACAACAATAACGAAGCAAATAACAAAATCATAAATGTTTTGCAATTTCAATGAGAATTTGAAAACACGCGAGAGTGAGGGAATAGGCCGGATAAATATCTCAAAATCATATACAATATTGACTAATGATTTCATTGCCTTCCGACTTTCGAATTGGATCCGAATTTTGGACTTTGACGATTATCGTCCGGGTAGAGCTCGTCGTTCTCCCGCGATTGCGCTCGACATTTCAAACCTATAAAAACGCGCGCTAGGAATGAAAGGAATGTGCGAGGAAAAAGGCTGACAGGCCAATTGGGTGCGCGACAGTGATTTGTCGAATCGTTCAGGGGTGCCACTCGGCTCTTGGACCTCCGGAGGATACGTTTGCCCGGACACATGTCAACGATATATTCCCAGCTAGGCAATTCTGAAATTGGAACGCTTATTTAGCCAGTCGGTCTTTGGGTACGATTCCCCTACCGCATCATAGACCATCAATCGCATTCGAGATTTATCACTAGATTCTCGATCTGCTCGCCCGTGGAGCTCGCGCGAACACTGCGCCCGGAAAGAAGAAGATATTATGGCGAGGCCCCTCCTTCCTATATCGTTCGATTACTCAATTGGTGCTATCGGGACCGGGAGTCGTCTCATCTCTAGATGTGAACACCGTACAACTAAATGAAAGAGGGGTACTCGGGAAGGGGTACTTCGCGAGGGAAACCGGGATGGAATGTCTTTGGCTGCGCTTGTTCGTGTTTCTAGGCCTGCCAAGATTATACAACGTGCGCTTTATAGTTCATTAGGGGACGGCTTGACGTTCCGTAATTTTGTTTCCCCGAATCTTTTACATCACGGGCTTTTCACTCGAAAAATGAAATTCGAATACAAGCCACAAGTGTTTTATTTTTTGAGAAACGCAAGTATTTTGTCGAGTTCCTTCCATAAATTAGGAATTTCCGTAGGCTCGACGGCTATGTCCGCTGTTATTTACCAAATATTTTCAAAACAACAATCAATTTCTCGCTGTCTTGTACATCTTTATGCTAATGAGTGCTTTACGACGTGCTTACATTAATGTTAACACACGGCATTTAACAAATAAATAATAACTATGTGCTTATGTATACATTGCATCACTAGGATTATTAAAACACAACGCATAAAAGAGCACGATGAGTTTTCAAGTGATTTCATTAGAAATTGTTATATTAAGAATTAAAAATAAAAGTTTTCATATAGATCAATTTTCAATGTTTTCCATAATAAACTATTGAAATAGCTTTACGAGGAGACGGGAAATGACCTTTAAATTTTTCTCATTGAACAAGGCACCTAATAAACGTCTCAATTATTAGTGCCGTTGCGCAGCTGAAAAATGGCTTCGCTCGAGCAACTTTGGATTTATGGAAAATTGGAAATGCATTTTTTCAGTGCCGAGTCGCAACAAATTGATTTTCCGGGGTAGAGTAGCGAAAGGGATCCACACGATGCCCGAGGAGGTAGTTTATACAAGATTCATCTTCATTAGGGAGTCCTGCGGCGTTACTTCACTCGATTATTCCCACCTGGTGATTTTCGAGGTGTTGAGTCGGCAGCAAAAACCGTTCTCAATAAAAGTGGGCTCGGGCCATAGTTACCTAGATGGCCCCGAAGCGATTTTTCCAAAATAATCGTGAACCTAAGGAAGACAGTTGGCTAACGCAATTGGCCACTGCTAATTATTGCTTATGAAAATTTTATCACACTCTCGGACACCACATTTCACAATTAAATACTTAATTGAAGGTCTTTTTTCTTACACTTAATGCTACATTCGTAGAATTGTATAATTATTTTTTTCTTCATTTTGTTCTTTTTCTTCTTTTTTCTTTTTCTTTCTTTCATCAGGACTATTTAAAGCATGCAGGAAAGCAATTTATATAATTTATTGTATAA